CTTAACGGAGGTTGCGCACGACAGCGGCAGGATCCAACTTGTAGTCAGTCGAGCTTTCGATCCCGGAACGCTTCTTTTTAGCACAATAGAGTTCGAAGCTGTAGGATACAGGATAACAAAACTGTTAGCTTATACGGCGCAAGATAACATAACTTTAAAGCCAAAAAAACAAACGAGTGCTCCAAAAAGGAATACTCGTTACTTACCGAATACAGTATGCCGTCGATGAACAGCACAAACATGAATATCATCGTCCCCCACTTCTGGAGTTTATCCTTGACGTAGACTCGCATAAGGTTGAAAGTTAACCTCGAAGGCAACATGGCTTCGTCGAAAGCCATTATTGGTGGCGGCGTGTATCCAGCAGCAAATCGATGTTGCAATGCATCGATGACAGATCTCAGTTTGATCGAAGCAACCTCGGGAATGGTCCCTTCATCAGTCGTGCACCAATGGTTCGCCAGCCTCTCTTTGTTGGGAGCGACAGACCGCGCGACGAGGATACCGATAAAAAAAATACTCAACTCTCTTGCTGTGATGTTTTGTGTTCGAATCAGATCGTTTCCTATTTGAGCACGATTTTCTTCTTGATTTCTGGGTGTTTCTGTTCTCGCGCCACTTGCTTCACATCCTGGCCCTCAACGCGCTCTTATATCTTCTCTGTGAAGTAGCTATTGCATTCTATAGGTATGGATTCCCAAAACTCCAGTTGCATGAAGTAGAAGAATGAGCCTGATGGCGTTGCCGCAGCCTCCATAGCCTTGGGCGTCGGCCTCCACTCACCAAAGCATAGATTAGGATAATACTCAGTCATGGAACCGATCGTTCTGGACTCGTAAGGTTCCATCAAGTAATCATACGGACTTTCGATCACGAGATCCGTCGCTCATGTCCTTCAGAAACCCGTCTGACACACTACCAGAGGTAATGTTGCCTAATCTCCAATTGCTGATATCATTTCGTTGTCATAGTGCAACTCAGGAGGTATTGGTATCGACTCATCGACACTCTCCACAGACTGGTTGTCGTCATCCCAGTCTCTATTGTCGTTTTCAGCATCCGACTCAAATACGACAAATGCTCGCGGGCCATCAGTACGTGTAACACGATTGGCTTTGCCTAAACGCACACAACAATGGATTCATGTTAGCTAAGCTGACTTGTACATTAAACTTGTATGTACACGGTAACAAACCTTCCGTATCGCTTGCTGGCTCACACAGATCGTCGTCGCTTGTCTTCTCCACCCCAGCGGCCGTTTGATAATCGGCTACGACACCAGACTCAGTGGAATATTCGTCGTGGTCCACGACTTCCTCAAAGTCTGCCTCGAGGCTGTGTGGTATAACCGGTCGGGATCGTACACGATAACATCAATATACATGATTAGTAGCCACTTACCAACCTGTTATCTTGTATAATACACGCTCGCCGAACCAGTAGACTGCATATGGCTTTCAACGCCGGTTGAATTATTCGGCAATGCTTCGTGTACTTCACTATCGCTGGAAGTTGCTTCTGGGTCTTGAACAGCTTTTTCTTGCTCGTAGACTCTGTTACGACACACAAACGTACGATACATGATTAGCCCCGCTTCTAATCCCGTACCAGACAAGTTAGTTGGGCACATCTTCTTCTCTGCTGTTGAAGCAACGGACTGTCGGTAGCGTACATGATTATCAAAGTTGTAAGCATGACCAATATAAGTTAGACATGCGCACCATCATTTCCGTTTTCAGCGTTGCGATCTGGAAGTTGCTGAGGAGTCGGTGGGCTGATGGGAGCGGGAGACGGACTGGGTGAGGACTTGGCTCGAGCCGGAGCGCATCTGAACACCTCAAACGGTCAAACGATGCATCACAGACCTCATTGCAGCTTAGTCACGCACCAAGGTCGATTTGGGCCAAGTACCGCATCAGCTCTTCTTCCCCCAACGAAACCATCGTGCCCGCGCACTCCATTCTTCTTTTTTCGTGGCTTGACGTACGTCGGACTGTTGGAAAGGCCTTTCGGGCAGTTAGATGTCCACCCGTCCTTTTTAAGCTCGCATCAGTGCGCACG